TGAGGTCCAGAGAGTGAAAAGGTCATTTTTAGATTCCTGTCTTTCAGATTTTTATTTCAGTGTCAGATTCATTAATTATGGTAACGCCTTTTAGAAAGATTTGCTTTTAAACGTTATTTTTGCTAATCAATAATTGCTTTGTTTCTTTTCAAATTTTTTATTTTTTGGGGGTAACATTACTAATAGTTAGTTAAATTCCTTAGACCAAGACCATTTTAGAGAATGTCTTTATCTAACTGATTAACAAATTAGATAAAGTGTTAAGTTTCCCTAGAACTATTCAAATTGTGAATGTATAAATATTTATTTGCGAAACAAAATTACGAATGCAATGTGTAGTCGTTGAAGATAAATATCTGTGTTTCTGCTACCCAGAATGAGACTTCCATGCCTATAGCCTGTTATTGTACCTCCATCATGGAATGCCGAGATCCCCGATCTTTGTGTCTCATCTTGGAGGATGCTTTCGGAGCTTTTGTCATTCTTTGTTGCTTGTCTTAGGTAAGCTGAGAATTCTGATGTAGTGTTTGAAATGTGATAGACTATTTGAAGTGGATATGCTTGATAACTATCTACCATAATAGAGAGGGGATGAGGCAGACAGCGTGTTGTGATAGTTGTGGTGAGGAAGATAGCATGTGGATGCTGGGATAATTCCTGAACAATACTTGCAGTGGGGCAATAAATTATCTCCTGCAGATAAACATGTTTGTGCGAGGGAAATAATTTGAGTATAATGTTCTTATGGCATATTCTGTGATATTATTTAGAAAATGAACAATATAGAAATTTGTTGTGCTTTCCTTACAACTGAAATATGAAGCTGTTTTTCTGAGGGAAATTTCGTCAAATAAAGATCAATATTTTTATCCTACTTTCCTAACAAATTTGATGTCTCTGTAAATATAGATATATCAAAATAAGTTCATGGTACTTTCTTGACAATAGTATATTGAATAAGGTGAGATTAATTTTAATCTGAATAACCTTTGTCGACATTATTGCAATGGTTGAAAATACTTACTTGACTCTCTACTCTCTGAAAAATGCTTGTCTTAAGAATACATATTCTTCAACCAAAACTAAATGAAATTGTGTTTAGAAAAATTGCATGACCCAATAACCAGTTTCACATATTTCTTTATTTTACTGTAACAGCGACCTTTTGGTAAAGATCCTTAAACAGTTGTCCTTGCTTGACAATGACATAAAGAGCTTTTCTGAAACATTGCTATTACAGAAAAGTAAAGAAGTTTATATCCATAAATTGTGTCTACTTTGTCATCCGTCAACTTGTATGGAATGCCTGTCACACATTGCTCTGAAGCCATTGATGGATTTTTGTTTCCAATGTTTTTAATTTTCGCATTTTGTGGAACCATTTTCCTTCTTTCTCCATGGCACATAATCCACACATTTCAAAGCCTCCAAATCCCATTAGCTTGAACTCGGATGGTATGAGTGGTAATGTGTTATTTTTGTAAAAGGATATATGACATCTTTTCAATTAGGAACTAGTCATCAGAATTAAACATTAGGGAAGCCATGTTAAATATGACAGTTATGAATGTGTTGTTTCCATAATGGCTTGGACTTGTCTGGCTATGAGACTTGGGGTAGAACACGCTTCACTGTCCTGGATTTTAACGAGTATCTCATTCTGGCATCTCTCAGAGGACATGCCTCAGGTACTGAGGGCTAATTAGATGTTCTAGAATTAATTGTTGTCAGGAATACTGGCATGTGTCACCATTTTGATCACTGGTGACGATAATCAGGCGAATATGATGTGAATGTTTGAAGCTTTTGTTCCGTTCCAAAAGTGAAAAGTGTTAATAGTAGAGTGATATCTTCGGTTCTGTTGGATTTAGTTGTAATTAAATGAGTTGCTGCGTTTAATTCTCCATAATTCAATTCTGATAATTCTAATTAAGAAAGGAATTCGGAGGGTGCTGCTACAATTGCCGGAACACATGTTTTAGACCCTCTTCCTCTCAATTCATAAATAAGATGTCTAGTGAACAGCATGGCGAAACAAAGACCCCGCTATACTGGTTCCATGGGGAGATTTTAAAGTGTGTCATTTTTATTATCTTGTATAAATATCTTCTTCTTTTCCTTATTGTATATGTACAATAAAATTAACAATCATAACAGCATTGAATTTACAATGCCATTTAGAAAGTGGTCAAATGTAACAAATGTTATATTTGGGATAACATTTTCTTAGTAAAGTACAGATTCTCGCACTTGTTTGTGCTGGCGATAAGGTGCCTCACTCTGTTAGCCTGTGATAACTTTTCGGAGCACAAATGTGCAACTGATTTTCAATTTATTTCTCAAGAAACTGAAAATTTCAAACTCCTGGGAAGAATTTTGTTGTGTAACTGAAAATGTTTATCAAAGAAAATGTGAAATCTGCTTGATTATGTCAGAGCCCCTTGGGACTCCCACTGTTGGCCTATCTCTTAATTGGAGGATGTAATGAAGGGACGATTACACAAGATGTCACATAATCAGATAGGGGTTCATGGTGGGGGTCAGGTCAATCTGTGGGGCTCTGTGTCATTATAAAGAGAACAGCAATTACTGTACGTATGGTATAACTAGCTTATCACATACCAGGTTTATAATAAGGCTGTGTGTTATGTGATGTTATGTGATTTGTGTTTGAAGTGGTATTTGATCAAATTAATAAATGAGTATTTGTGACTGAATTGGTTGGTTCAGTGAGTAGTAGTGTGTATGTCCAGATGAGAAAATGATAATAATGGGTCTCTAAAGAGTAGTTTTTTCCCAAACTGTTTAATTGACAATGCAGCATGAAATATGAGTTGGCACTCAAACTGGGTTGCTGAAGTGTTAAATCAAACGTTCAATTGGTCTGAGCCTCACCCTCTTGAAGGATCCTGGAATGGTTTTTACATGATGTTTAACTGAATATCCATTTTTGAAATTTTTAAGGTCATCTGTGAATGGAACCTGTGAGGTAGGATTGAGAAAAAATTGATTTAATTTTAAATAAAAAAATCAGCTTCAGTATTCAAACTGAAGACATTTAAACAAGTCAGCTTCAGGGATTGAGATTTGGATTGAGACCAGATATGAAAAGAAATTCTTCTGTATCATCATCCCTCTGGATCACAATTCAGCCCAATTTCAACTCTGGGAATTTGATCCTCGTGATGAAAGCTAATCAAGGGTTTTACCCACAAATTCAATTAATGCTTTCATTTCACCAACACAGGATGATGTATCTGTATTTTACATATGGTTGCTAATTAGCTAGTCATTCCCACTTTTAATCAGTGCCACACAAGAAACAAGGAATACTGTAGCTGGTGCCGCCCCCCACCCCGAGTATGACATGTGTACACATTATGAGAAACACTATCCCCTTGCCGCTACCAGTAATGATTCCAGTCTAGTCATGCATGTGATATTTAGGATTTTCATTGCGATTAATCTTCAAGACAATAGCATCAAAAAGGATCATTGATGATTAAATATTTAATAAAAGCAGATATATATTCTGTTTTGTGGTTAATAATTTTTTTATTAACAATGGCTGGGAACTGTATTAGCTATGCATGATAAATTTCAATAAATTTTTGTCACTTATGTATGAATATAGTCAAATTTAAGTAATTATTTATTATATTTTTAAAGGTCATTTTTGATTGGGTGTATTTCAGCAAAGAATTGATTTAAAACTATAGAAGAGTCTTTGTAGAGACTTAAACAAATTGTTGAAACTTGTTTAAAACAATGTTAAGGTAACAATCAAGGCCTGTTAGTTCGTGTCCTGGTCAGGTTTAGTACACTTCATGGCAAATGTGGTTTCAGTTTATCGGATAGAAAATGTGCTTGATTACAAAAGAAACAATTAATCTTCATATGTGCCGTAGTTCCAATTGAAATGGATGGTGTGAATGGTCCTGTTTTACCATCAAAGATCCAATCTCGCCAAATTAGCCAATTTAAGTTTTTTAAAGAGAAACAAATATCCTAAATGATTGAAAATTCAATTTCTTAAGCTTCCCTTTCCATCATTGTGTCATTTATTGCTCTTTGATGTCTTGAGATGGTCCCTGGCTCATCCGTTCTCCTCCCCTTTTACCCAGTATTGCTTGTGACTTCATAATTAATTTTCCTCTACATACAGGCAATTACCTATTTTTTCCCCTCACAAAGAGAACCACCGAGAGTCTTTTTAGCCCAATCTTTTTTTTAAAAAAAGACTATTAAACCGTTTTGTAAATGGAAGGTTAATTTATCTCATATTTACTAAAAAACACAAAAGATTTAATGTCATATTCACCTTTGTTAAAATGTTGCTATTCCTTTCTCCGCCCCATTTCCAAGAACAAAGAAACAATTCAACAAAGTAGGATGCTAATTAGCCCAATTGTTTGATGAGGTTGCTAATAGGGGCCGCATCTTCTAATAAGGGGCTGCCAGCCCATGATAGGGGTCTTCAGTCTAGTCATGTGAAAGGGGACACCCCTATTAGGTTTGTGGACAGGATGGGTACTGTACAAGGGCTGTTATAAGAACAGCTACAAGGCAATTAGAGAAAATGTTAGGACAGGGAATGTAGCATTGTTGAGCTGCTGTGTTGTGGTGTTAGAGAAGATGCTATCAAGATGAGGAAGGGACCTTCAAGGAAACAGGATATTAAATTGTGACCTGTTAGCTTGAACAAAATGACCCCCTTGTTCAATTGGTCTGGTACATTTCTATATGGTAAAAGGGTACGTGACGACTGGAAATATTTCATATCTTATTTGTTCTATCTACGAGTGATTTGGTTGGTTGTGTAAGTTAAGTTTCCTGAAACAATATTTAGTCAACATGTACAAACTGGTACAGAAGGATCAAATTTCAGATATGGCAGGTTTTTTGATGGAGTTGATATGTATGAATCTTTGTTGGGTATTCATGTTGTTTTTATTTGAGTGAATTAACTGTATGTTGATTGGTTTGTTTTTCTTCTGCAGGTTTACTCCCCAAGTCCTGATGACTTTCACCAGGACTCCCCGCGCTACCAAGGCACGGGGAACTCGCCCAAACCTATGTCGTATTCAGACTACTTCATGGGTAAGACTTGCTGCTGTTTGTTATACCATGTTATAGTCTTTACCGTATTCGACGTAATAAGCACCCAGGGTGCCCTTAAAATTAGAAACAGGAAGCTCTTTTTAGAATATAATTTTGGTGGAATGAAAAAAAAGAGAGTTGAAAGATCGTAAATTTTGTGGTTTATGCTGACAGCCTGAAAAATACAAAAGAAAGGTTTGTGCGTATTATACAAGACAAACATATTTTTCCAGAATTTACATGCCTGTAATTAAGGGTGCATAACACACACGAGTGTGTATTATACGCGAATAAATAAGTCTTGTGTACATTGACCAATCGGAATGGGTGCCAATTGGGATTGTTCACCAGCCAATATATTAGCAAATATCGTAGTGGGTGCTTATAAGAGCGGGGCGCTTATTACGTCCAATACGGTATATCAACATTGTCAACCAAGGATGTTATCAAAGATGTCAAAACTTCTCTGTCAGCTGTTAGAAAGTAAGTTATACCACATTATTGTTGAGAGTTATGTACCTCAGGCATAACAGAAGTCCCTGTCATTGGTTAGAATCCCTGATTACATTGTAGGTTTGTCTCATGCTAGTGGGATTCACCAATTTGTAAACTTCTAAAACCTGCATTATTCAGATTTTCTCCAACATCAAGCAGACATGCAGTGAAATGACTAAAATTATATGCTAGTTTTCAAAATGTCACCACTGTCTATATTTTCTTGTTTCATAGCTAGTTTTGACAAATAGGCTCAAAATATATTTTTATCAAAGAAAGGTGTAAAGATTCACATATGACAGGTGTTTCAGTGATGTAAGCAGTACTTTGATTTTTATTTCATCTTTTCTTAAAGTATGCGGTTTCCATTAAGTAATTAAAGTATGTAATGTTACAACATCTAAAAATATATCCAACAGTAGCTTGTTGGGGAACAGGACATTTCAGTGAGCCATGGTTTGCAAATCATCATTATTCTGCTTTGGGGAAAATAGTTGTATTGTAAGTAGTATTGTATTCCGACTTACTAGTGGAGGCCATTTCTTTCTGAACATAGAACATAGTTATTGTGGGTAAGTGCATTCTTAACATAATGCACTGCGTTAGAATAGTGTCATTTTGCCAGGATGGTGTTGAAAAGTAATTTCCTTCGAAAAAACATCTCTAATCATCAATACTGAAGCTAAGATTGCATAATCCTTAAGCAACAAACAAGCAATGTTTAGCTTCGCGAGACTGCCTCTGATTAGAGTTGCAGTTGCCTACAAAACGTTCATCAGGTCGCAGAAGATGTTTCTACCATTAGGGAGCTAGAGTGTTCAGAGAACCAAGAATATTTTTAACTCTATGGAATATACCATGTGTTTAAGCAGCCTCTTTCGTTACAGCGCTGTGCAAATTGCCTGTTAGAGAGTGTGTTTAATACATTGGGAGGTTTTCACCAAACTCCAATGGCGTGCCCGAACTGCCAAGACACACCTTTGTCAAATTAATATGTAGTGATTTGGCTCCACTGTTTTCCTTGGAAAATATTCTGGGTAAAAAAGTTATTGTGGTAATTATGGAGAACTCGATAGTTCAATAGAATTTTTTTTCAATTTCAAAAACATAAGCACTTCGCTGTTTCTGTTTGAGCTGTAATTTTCCAGACCTGATTTGGTTACTTATGAGCTTGAATAGAATTAGTTCATGGTAATTGCCTCCGGGGTGTCCGACAAAAGGTGCAATTTAGTGCATTTATGGTTGACAGGATTTCATAACTGCGGGATGTTTGGAATTATTGACAGCTTTGGAATGAATATTCAGCAGCAATTTTTATTACAATGTTCGCCTTATATAAAAATATATAAATCAAATTAATAATTACTATATTAATGTATGTAATTAAATCATTATATAAAAATATTGAGATGGTTTTCATTACAATTTGTTAATTTCAGTTCTGTTATACACCACAGATTTTCATTCAATTTTGAAAGAAACGCAATGCAAATAAATGTTGCAATAGATATACTGGGAAAAATCATATTAAGATCATTTTATAAGTCATTGTTTTACAGTGTAAAACTACATGAAAGGCAACAAATAAAAACTGTAAAAACATTAAAAAAAGATTATATATTAATATACCCCTAGTATACCCTTCTTTCCTGAGAAGGAAAATGAATAACCACTGATATGTTGAATGGGTTGACAAAAGAACATTATTTTTGTCATTATTATTGGTGTGATTGTTTTCAATAGATTTTATTTCAATTTCAGAACCTCAGTCACATAGTTCAGGAGACCCCTGGTCTTCCAGTAACGCGATGCCTTCATCCTCCTACCAAGCTTCCATCACAAGTGGTTCACATTATTCACAAAACTCCCCTTATACCAGTATGCACCATCCACATGAAACAGTAAGTGTCTTATCCACCATGAAAGAACCCTTTGTTGTGGGTGTTCAAATAAAAGTATATTTAATGTGCTTTCATATGAATACACACTTGTTTGATGAAGAACCCTTTGTTGTGGGTGTTCAAATAAAAGTATGCTTAATGTGCTTTCTTATGAATATCCACTTGTTTGATGAAGAACCCTTTGTTGTGGGTGTTCAAATAAAAGTATATTTAATGTGCTTTCATATGAATATCCACTTGTTTGATGAAGAACCCTTTGTTGTGGGTGTTCAAATGAAAGTATATTTAATGTGCTATCATATGAATATCCACTTGTTTGAAGAAGAACCCTTTGTTGTGGGTATTCAAATGAAAGTATATTTAATGTGCTTTCATATGAATACGGACTTGTTTGATGAAGAACCCTTTGTTGTGGGTGTTCAAAGAAAAGTATGTTTAATGTGCTTTCATATGAATATCAACTTGTTTGAAGAAGAACCCTTCGTTGTGGGTATGCTAATGAAAGTATATTTAATGTGCTTTCATATGAATACACACTTGTTTGATGAAGAACCCTTTGTTGTGGGTGTTCAAATGAAAGTATATTTACCGGCTTCCATATGAATATCCACTTGTTTGATGAAGAACCCTTTGTTGTGGGTATTCAAATGAAGTATATTTAATGTGCTTTCATATGAATATCCACTTGTTTGAAGAAGAACCCTTTGTCGTGGGTATTCAAACGAAAGGTAATTGAATGTGATTTATTTAGATTGGTATGATGATGGAGAAAATAATGTTTTTGAAAGGCTGAAAATGGCATTATTTAGATATTTTGGAATTTTTTTGTGTAACTACTTTTTCCAGCACTTCTGTAGATAATTGTGAAAAAATCAGTTTACATGAACTATTTTGTCAAACAATAATTCTAAAGTATTTGAGTATCAAGTAGAATTACATAATGGAGGAAAATCTGATAAGAAGGTTTCGATAATATTCACAGCCATTGAGCATTTATTAAATAGTGAGACATAATATTCATAGTTTCCAACTTTGATTGGGAGTGATTCATTCATCTGAGGTCTGTATCAGTAGGAGCAGTTATAGGGGAACAGCAGCTGGATTTCTTCATTACAAACTGTTGACAGGGAAACAGTGCAGCTGCCTTGTGGGTAATGTCACTCTATCATGAACACAGGCTGCGGGAAAATTAATCCCATCCAAAACTTTGGCACTTGTATATATTTATCTATTTTCCTCTTCAGAAACTTATTTTGAAATCATATTGTTAGATAGGCTATGAAATAATGTCATAAGAGAATTTTTTCCTGATGAATAACACACTTTTTTGGCAGGAAATATTTATCATGCTGTGTTAAGATAATTTGGATATTTTTGCAAGTTATTGAATGAAATCTTTGAGGAGATTGCTTGTATGTAATGTATGGTTTAGCAAATATGATAGCACACAGGTTAATCTGAGTAAAATTGTATGAATATTTAAAAAAACAAACAAATTAAAAGGAAATAATTACAAAATGCTAGGGTAATTATTGAGTCTACTCTCCAAATGCTGGGAGTGATACCACATGTTAGCTATTCTGATAGGAAATATTTACTTTAGTATTGTCTTTATCATAATATACTATCTTGTCCCCCCCATTTTTTTCTGAAGTCTTCCCTGCCACATGGCCAAGTTTAGTGGTTAGGTTTTGGGCTGAGACGTATCCCAGATGCCTTGGCTCTCTCGGTAAGCCATTACAAGCAATGACCTCTGAGCTCCACTGTAATTTGCCTTGCAAACATCCGGTCCAATCGCAGTTATCTGCCCTTCATGTAACTCTTCAATTTACATAGAGACAAGTCCAGAAAGTGTATATTTATATACAGAGAATCTATGTAGAAACATTTTATGTAACTGGCAATTTTGTGGTACTTTATTTTTGGGTTTGATTAAACATGTAGGCGTAGGATGATTTTACACCGAAACCAAGTTCATTGTGGCCTGGATTTCAGAGCAAAGTCATTCCGAACTGACTTTAATGATTTTCAAGACATTGTTGAAGTAGGAAGTTAGAAAAACTTATTTTGTAATTTAAATGTTTATCAACGATTCTTCAAGGATATTGTTTGAAAAATAATTAAAAAGAAGTACGAAATACAAGTCTACAAAGCCATAATATAAGTTACCATGCAAACATAAATTGGGAATTTTTTTATTCCAATTTTTGATTATTTTTCATCAGATCACTTCCTCAGATTTGGGTGGTGGTGTAGCCTCGTGGATGAGGTGTTCGCTTATCACACTGAAAGCCCGGGTTTGATTCTCCACATGGGTACAATGTGTGAAGCCCATTTCTTGTCTCCCCCGCCGTGGTATAGCTGGAATATTGCTAAAAGCGGCATAAAACCATACTCGCTCAATCTGAGTTGGTTTAGATAAATCCTGGATAGACTTTCACAGCGAAGAATCATGATGAACATTTATTTATCTTTTCACATACATCGTATGTTGTCTCGCGTATGATGCTGATGCTGTTTTGTTCCTAGGGCTACCATCCTGTGTCACCCAGTCAGGAATCTCTCATGTCGTCCGGTCTTCCCCCAATGTCCACGTTCCGAGGTGGACCCGCCATGCCCAACACTTCCACTGCATATTCTACAACATCGTCGTCCGTCAATGGATCTGAGATGATGTCTAATCGGCCGCAGGGCGGTTCGCAGACTGGTGATGCACTAGGCAAAGCATTAGCATCTGTAAGTATCTGCTTGATCTTGTCCCTGTATTCATGTGCTTCAGGAACCCTTCCACACAAACTTCCACCATTGTCTCTGCATTTGTACACACTATGTTCCTCAAGCTCTTCCTCTAGCACCAGTGAATAAATGTGATTAGACAGTCGCTTCTTTTAACCAACAAATAAAGCCATGAATTAAACCCACAAGAACTCAGACCAATCACCTCACCTCACCTCACCTCACCTCACCTCACCTCACCTCACCTCACCTCACCTCACCTCACCTCACCTCACCTCAGGGGCGGTTGGGTAGCCTTGTGGTTAAAGCGTTCGCTCGTCACGCCGAAGACCTGGGTTCGATTCCCAACATGGGTTCAATGTGTGAAGCCCATTTCTGATGTTCCCCGCCATGATATTGCCGGAATATTGCTAAACACCTCACCTCACCTCACCTCACCTCACCTCACCTCACCTCACCTCACCTCACCTCACCATTTCTTATGCAACATGTACCATTCCATGTTGTCACCTATTCTAGACTTTGCTTCAATGTCGGGCAATGGCAGGGTTCACACAAAATGGTGACTTCCGTGGCCTTCGTTACTGAAACACACGTCACCACTACAAATAGTAGTATGGATAAACGTAGTGTACAAACCCACAAGTGCTGACCAGGAACGTTGACAAGTTTAATGATATACTTAGCATTCTGAACATGCAGACCTGGTTCTCTGTGTGGGTACTAACAGATACTTGCTGTCTACTGTCACACGACTGTATAAATGTATTCACGTCACTGACTCTAACACTGTATATTTAAGTGTTTTTTTGGTGTCGTTCAATTAGAATGATCCTGTGGATGTTGTTTGAAATGTTCTGTAAATGCAATTGGTGATCAGAATGTCTGCTTGTCTGCTTGTGTCTCAGGTATCAACCATTAACGTTTGTGTCACATGCGCTCCTTTTCTCATTAAGGAGGAGCAGAAATAATTACTAATTTTTTCCTAACTTTTTTCCCCCGGGACATTTAACATGTTCAGTGAACAATATTATTTTTTTGTAATACCTGTAGCAATATTAGTTCTTTCTAGGATTTGGGGAACAATAAATTTTATAGAATTTGAAATGATCATTCCCTTACAAATTATGGAACATGTCTATCATTAACAAGCAAACTGTTTCAATTTTGATTTTTTTTTTCACTGAGTAAGAAGATTCCTGTATATTCTTAAAATAAAAAGGTTGAAAGATGAACTATGATTTTGCAAAACCTTGAGCAGAAAGAGAACCTGATCACGTCTGACAAAAAATGCCATGTGTGAAGCTCTTACTGGTTATACATTGTTTTTGAATTTATCGTGCCATTTTAGTGTCACCTGTTTGTGTCTTTGTTGATTGGATGTTTTTGGGTATGGAATGTGCCTCATTTATATGGTTACGATTTTTTCTGGAAGAATATATATTATTGTGACATTTAATCAGTGAGGAGCATGTTTTTCATGGCATGAAACGAATCAACAATCCTGATGGCATGTTGTTTGTTAGAGATTTAGCTGTAAAAGTTACCTAGGGAACTGGATTTGGAAACGGTAAACTCAGCCCCCATTTAGAAAACATTTTGGTTGCCAATGCAACCAATATTTAGGCTCCATGATTTATCTTATGGCAAAACATGACTATTATTATTTCATTTTGAATTTAGTTTTTAACACCTTTCTTTGGCAATCAGGAAAATAATGTCAGAAGCCAGGTGCAGGTGCCCCTTATGACAAAATGAACTTTGTTACCCGTCTGATTATCAGAGTTGATTTGGATTAGTCAGTATTTTGCTGTAAACAGTTGTGTATAACTGGTCTTTAATTTCAAGATAAGTAGTTGTGTGTAACTAGTAAATCTGAATGCTGCATGCTGGATGTTGATGAAGTTGTGTAATTTGTTTTGACTCGTGTCCTCCGTGTGTAGGTACCGCAGCATCGACGTGCACCTCCGCCCCCTCCACAGTCCTCTCAGACGGCTGCGACGTTAGGAAAAGCTTTAGCATCAGTGAGTCTCTAGTCACAGCTGTATCTGGAAAACAGCATTCATGTTTCCAGAATGTCAAAAAATATGAAATCAAAATCCGTTATATCAAAACTCTTGAAACTAAATTCTTTCTTAAAAAAATTCTAGATTTTATATATACTTGCATTGAAGGTTGAAGCTTTTGACATATCCTCTAATTTTTATTAACCAGAACACATTTTAAAATATGTAACAAAAATAGTTTGTCAGTGATATCTAAGTCTCAGAATTTGATTTACAGTACATCAAACTTGGAACTTCAGTTGAAAACTATGTAGTACTGAAATGTATTAGATTGTTGAGCATAGGTTCTTTTGTTTATTTTTAAAATCTGCACAATTTTCTGTTTAGGGGGCTTTAAATATATTTGTTCAAGTACACATCTCATCAAAACTAATGTTATCTGATAAAATCTGAAAAATACCGAATTATACCTTACAAATTGAATGAACATGTGAAAAGGTATTAATATGAAATACGTATCAACTTACTATAATTTGGAATGTCAAAAAAAGATTTTTGCCAGTGTTGAAATTTAAGCATGATTTTGTTACAACAGTGGTATTTCAAACACTTTTTGACAGAACAAACATTCTCCAGGATAATCCGACTTTAACAAAGTCATTAATGTAGGAGGACAAGTTTAAAACCTAAAGAAAAGTCTGTGATTTATCTTGGATTCTTATGAAAATGCCCTTGACCTGCAACTGCAAAAAGTTGTTGTTTTGTTCAAAATTGGATTTTGTTGAAGTTCTGTTTTCAGGGTCTTTTTAACATTATTTTGTTAGTACGTAGGTAAAATTAAACATTGAAGAATCTTCTTCTTCATTGGTCCCGTTATTAGTAAAATACAAGTCAATTTGGCACCGCCATCATATTATTTATATATATTTTAGCATGAAGTGAGAATTTTCACTAACATATGCTGCAGACCTGAGCAGGTCTAGAAAATCCCTGACAGTCTTTAGGTCTGAAGTCTTAGCTTAACCATTAATAAAAATTGTAAGTCCAGACTTAGACCTTTTAAGAGATATATTCTTTAGATGTGACTATTAAGGCTCAATTTCTGTTTTCATCTCCCTATTCTGACTTTAGACAACTGTCCGAAAGCTATCTTCACAATTTCATATCGTCCATTTTCATGCCTTTAAACAGACTCCCCCCAGACTCAAATTGAAAATGCCAGTTACATTTAGCAAATATTCTTTCCTTTAAAGTCTTCGCATACTCGGCTATCACATATCACTGTCAAAAAATGCATATCACCTTTGTGAAATGGAGAGTATTTTATGTAGCTATGGAAACCATGTGTTTTCCCGTTGGTAAATTCGCAAGTCATATGCAGCCCAGATGAGGCGGCAGCATGAAGCATAATCTAAACAGATCATATGTGGGACTAATAAACGTTTGACAGGGGCTGGCTGTGGCTTGCTGCAAAATATGAAACAGGGATAGACGGAGATTAGTTTCGAAATTGATTAAATTGGTATCAGGGGGAGAGCCGATTCATATCGTGGCCTTTCCCCCCGAGGGGAATGCCTCCCTCAAGAGAGATGTCACTATTGAGACATGGCAAGGTCCCCAGCTGCAAGTCGTTGTACCATCGCCACAAGGGAATGTGATTTGTACACCCTTTTAAATACCACAATATTCCTGTCATTCCGGATAGCATGGTTGTGTTTAGGTTGTTGATGCTTATGGACTCCTTGGTGTGTGGGGTATATCTGTATTATTACATGGGTGGGAATATTGCTTCGGTATAAGGATCTGTACTGAAACATCACTTTTTACAGTATTAAATTAGTTGTTATCCATCAATTGTGTCTACTTTCAAGCCCCCAATCTTAGGGATCATGAATATTTTTGGGGATATTTTTTTATTATAGTGAAGACTGAGCACAAACAAATATTCCAAAATATGTTTATGATCCTGAACTATTTTTGTAAAGTATAATAAAGTTTGTTTTATGCTTGCAGAGTTTCTGTGATATTACTAGAATTTTGGATAGTTTGTTAACGCTGCACTCAGCAATACTCCACCCCCATGACCACCCCCATGACCACTGCAATTTAGGACTGTATGTAATAGTTTAAGGTGGTGGTTAAGGAAGTCTCTGGTCTGGTGCATATTGTGTATATATTCTGGTCTGTTAGTCATAAGAGTTTTTATAGTAGAAATGCTTTTCTGCTCTTAAATTACCATGACATTCCTGGCATTATGGTAAGCATGACTGTTTGTGTGTTGATTGTGGGCAATGCATATAGAATTGTATGTAATAATTGTTGATATGCTACTCAAAAGAAGTTCAGGGACAACCGACAGATAACCTATGTATATAAACTAATTGGGTGTTATTTATTCAACTGATGAAGCCTCTGTAAAAATATCTTGTATTTTAATTTTATGCAATGATTCATATATATTATACTTTTTTCCAGATATATTCAACTGAGCACACAAATTCTAGTTATGGAGGGTCCAACCCATCCACACCTGTGTCCTCACCCCCACCAATGTCAGGTGAGCTTTCAATTTAATAATTAATAAGGGCAGACTAGAGTTCTTATTTTCTTCTTTTTCCTGAGGATGTCAGAGGGCCTTGGTGGCCCAGTGATCTGAAGAGCAGTTTTGCTGTGCAGAGTTGCTTCCCTTGGCTGTGTCAGGATCCACTGATCATGGAACAGAATTTCCGTCTGATTATGATCCTTGGTCTGTGAGAATTGCACCTGTGCTAATTATTTTCACCAAAATGATGTCTACGACTTGTATTTCCTTTGGTTTTATCACATATTTTTATTTATGTATTTTCATGATTCAGAGTTCTCACTTGCCTGTCTTGTCTGTTTCAGCTGGCCCCAACCCCAACTGGCATCGCCCCAATAATACTAGTACTACCTCGCCTCACTTTGAGAGTCATCTCCACTCACTGGTAGGTTCCACTGTCAAAATGACACTATTCAACTTGTCGCTCATCCCTGGGTTATAAATAGTCATATCACATGTTCAAGAAGTGTGCTGTTATGGTAGTATGCATGTGTTTGCTTGGTTGCACTTTGATTTGATGATTCTGAATTCACACGCTTGCTATTCAGTGCAATATTGTTATTCAGGATTGCTATTTAAACATAGGAGATATCCATGATGATAAGTTATAATAATTGGAAATATCCTGAAACAATTTGAAAATACAAAAGTAACAAGTGACTGGAAGCTTACGTCCAAGTAGTACAACATGAACGAGGATTCAAACTCAGACAACATTATTGTCACATGCCTTCAGGTCTCACTACCACATTCCAATTTCTTTCTTTTCTGTCAGTTCGGTGAACAGTATTTCCAAATTCCACACCACTTTTTCAAAGTGTGTCAGTATATCTTTTGATGAAAGCATACACAGAAACTTTCATTTTGAATTCTTTTTACAAATCTGAATGCAACCATGACATGGGGTTCATATTGTTTTCACAAGTCTGTAAAGATTGATTTCATTTCACCATATTCATTATCATACAATTGCCATTCATATCTGCCTTGCATGGTTCATTTATGTCGAAACTCTTTTTTATTGGTTCATTGTCATCTGCATGTTTTAACTAACTGTCTACTTCTTTCTCATTCTCCCTCCCTGCCCCTTCCCTTGCTCGCTTCGCCTTCCCACAATCCCTCAGACTGGTCAGATGGAAGAGCGCCTCAGCCAAGCCATTCAAATTCTCGGAGAGCATGGCCCCAACCAGGTAATCCAGCCTTGCCCACCTACAGTCCAGCTGTGATTGCTCCAATCAAAAATAGATCCATGCAGTCCAGCTGTGATTGGTCTATTAAAAAACTATACCATACTAGTCCAGATGTGATTGATCCATTAAAAAACTATGCCCTACTAGTCCAGATGTTTTTGGTCCCTTGCATTAACTAGATCCTAGCAGTCCAGCTGTGATTGGTCCATTCAAAAACTATGCCCTACTAGTCCAGATGTTTTTGGTCCCTTGAATTAACTAGATCCTATCAGTCCAGCTGTGATTGGTCCATTCAAAAACTACATCCTGACAAGCCAGTTGTGATTGGTCCATTTAAAATTGAAAACTTTTATGCTTCTGTGTGAAGTAATTGATCTTCCTAAAACAACAAGAAAATGAGATGAAGTAAATAATACATTTTTTGGGAATGACGACACTTTTTCAATGAAGATGCTCTTTGAAGTTGTACAAATGCTTCTTTAAAAAAACTGGCATATTTGACAATAAGTTTGGAAATATAACACATTTCAGTTTTTGATGCCATTATATGAAGCTGTGTAAAACTTGAACTGAAAACTACTCCAAAGAGCATGGCTTGTTTTTGTGGGGCTGTTCAGAGTTACTATAGCTACTTTCTATTTTGCAAAATTTTTGGGGGGTGTTATTAAGCTCTTCAATATATTAATATGTAAAAAAAATAATGATGAAAATATCTGTTTTTATTTTGTGTCCGCCAAGAACATTCAAAATGATGGAACTGGTTTTGTCACATTCGTTTTAGTGCCTGCCCAAAGTTTAATACCACAATGGCTGATGGTACTTTTCATTTTTCACTCTCTCTCTCACCATCATTGGAGTATCACATTGAGAAAATATCACTGAAACTCTCTGAGCAGAATTGCATGAATGGTTGCCATTATGTTGATGGAAATATGCTTTGTCAGTAGGAAGTTCCTGATTGCATGTTGGTGGATGCATGTTATTGTATGCCCAATTATGTAGATCGATGCTCATGATGTCAATCACTGGATTGTCTGGTCAAGTCTCGATTATGTACAGACCACGTCAAATAGCTGGAATATTGCTAAGTGTGGTATTAAGCAACAAACAAACAAAACAAAGATTATCTGTCCCTTGACTTGAAACAAGTAGACAAAGATACCGAGAGATTGCACCTGTATCCTGGTCTGCAAAATGATCATCACGCTAAGACAGTCGTAGCTCCAACACATTAGCGTTGATGTATTATATGGTTGCCTTGTGAACAGGGTCCAGTATGTCTTGCATGTCATAGAGGCTGGGAGTCCAGTCCAGGTTAGAATGCTGGTAGTTACAGGCCCCGTACCTGGTCGTGTGGTTCGTTTGCTCACAATATCGATCACTGGTTGTCTGGTCCAGATTGGTTCGAATCCCGGTTCGCCCCGATTATGTTTCTAGGTTTGTCAGCACCATACCTGTGCTCGTGGGTTTCACCGAAGTGGTAAACGTCTGAGACCTGCATCACTTCAGGCTTTCCTCCCACATTAAGCTGACACGCCGTGATATAACTGGAATACTGTTAAAAACGGCGTTAAACCCAACTCACTCACTCACTCATGCATGGGATAGATAGTGTGATGGAGAAACCTCTGCATGGGCATTGTACATCAAGCAGTTCCTAATCAGGCTTGTCTACACTATATTCATGCACCTGTAGTGTTCCTATGCACCATGTCATCTTTGCCAACCTGAAAAACATGTATTTGTTTCAGCTCAATTAAGCTCAGGTTCCTATATTCGTATTTTCTTAATTATTATTAACTTAAAAAAACAACAAAATAAATACCAAAAAAAATAGGGCTCTAATCAGTCCAACAAAGCTATTTGGTGAGATGTCAAGCTTTGTGTTGTTTTTATGACATTAAGACAGCGTGATGTATGAGTTATCTCCCCTTACAGCAAAGCAAGATGGAGGAAAGACTTGATGATGCTATTCATGTCCTACGCAACCATGCAGAGCACCAACCAGGCATGCCGAGTCACCTGGGGATGCCAGGAATGATGCCGCCGGGACAGTCCAATGGAATTATGGGAAATATGGGTGGATACCCAGGAATGGGGATGATGCAGGGACACATGGATGCGCATATGGTAAGTTGATGCTCGGATGTGTTTTAAAATTTGAATCATAGTCTGAAGGAATAAAAGTTGTAACATCGCTGGAACCCAATTGACAAAGCATTCCTGAGAAGATGTCAGTTAGTATTGAGCTTCAGCAACCCATTCTTGTCGTACTAACGGGATCGGGTGGTCAGGTTTGCTTACTTGGTTGATGCATGTCATCATTTCCCAATTGCGTAGATTGATGCTCATGATGTCAATCACAGGATTGTATGGTCCAGACTCGATTATTTACAGACCGCTGTCACATAGCTGGAATATTGCTGAGTGTTGCGTTAAACAACAAAGAAACGTGACTAAGGCCATTGAGTGAGTGAGGGAGTGCGTGAGCTTAATGAGGGAGGAACGTGATTGGGTGGTCAGTATGCTGTGACTTGCTTGAGGATGTCTTGGTACCCCTAGCGTGGAATGTCGCTCATGCTGTCCATCACTGGTTTGCATGCTCATGTTCTAATACAAGTAAACCCAACTCACTCAATCTACCAGGGTGTTTGGCACAGTTGGTAAAGAATATGACCTCGGTTATTTATCTACATTCAGCCATATGTTTCTGTGATCAGTGATACAAGTTTAATGAATACTTGATTCCACCTTTGAGGAAAAGGTCAGGTAGCCTAGTGGTAAAAGTGTTCACTTATCATGGTGAAGCCCTGAGTTCAGTTCCCTACATGGATACAATGCAGGGGGGCCCTGTCCTTGTGTCCCCTGTCAGGAATATTTCTAAAAGCATCATATAACTCACTCATTCACTTACTCTTAAAAGTTATGGGGGCGGTCGGGTAGCCTAGTGGTTAAAGCGTTCACTAGTCACGCCGAAGACCTGGGTTTCGATTCCGGACATGGGTACAATGTGTGAAACCCATTTCTGGTGTCCCCCGCCGCGATATTGCTGGAATATTGCTAAAAGCGGCATAAAACCATACTCATTCACTTAAAAGTTATTAAAAAGGTCTCGCATCTTCTGAGGCTCAGTCTCAAGTTCAAGGTCGGGGGGGGGGAGGGGCAGAGAGGGGTTTCGAGTCTTTGGACCACCCACCACTACTATCAGATGACCAGTCTTTTAATTGGCCCAAACTTGTTTGATATGATTCAGGGAGCTGGTGGCAGCAAGTATGTTCAAATATTTAAGTTGTGCGCAAAATATGTTTAAGTGATTAATTTACAATTTCGAGAAGTGAAGATAGACAGTTATAAGTTTTTGGACAGGAAGTTCCATGCAGAGGATTGTGGGATGTGAGATGGTAGCTTGCAGCAGCTGGATGATGGCCAATACAGGCGCACATCTGGATTTTGTGTAACACTGCTTCAGTTGCGTTCTAGCAAAGCACCATGGGAAATAACAGTTGTATCATGGGACTGATATCAAAGAAATGGCTTTGTGATGAATTGATAACAATATGATAAGAAATGCTAGACTTTAAAAACCCAGTCCAGTGCAGTGAGACGCGGAAAGAAACAAAATGGCCGAAGAGGCGCATGGGAAACTTTGTCAGCCCTTTTTGCAAGTTGGAATTTTAAACCCAGATTTTCTTCCAGAACTTGGGAGGCAAATTTGCTTTTAACGGAGGAACCTGTTCTCGCAGCTGCGTTTAATTACAATCCCAAATCGCAAGAAGCGTGCATCTGTTTTCCATTGGGCAGAAGGCTCGCTCCCCCATCCAGCCCTAGTTTGGCCAACCTAGCTGTTTATTTTGTAACTGACAGTGGAGAGAAAACAAACGATCGCGGCCAATAGGAAGGCGGCATTATATACTGTGTTCCGATATATAAACAGGAAAATGCCAGATTTTGGACTTGCAGAAGGTCAAATTATTTCCATGTGACTCTGTCGTAGCGGTGTAAAGACAATGGGAAACAGATTGTTAAACAATGCTCTCTATTGTGATGCCTGCTCAAATTCAATTGTTCGTTTGAAATCAGAGAAACTTCATTTAAAAAAAATTCCAATTTCTATTGCTACCGTTTTGAGGTATTTTTTCAACAATATGTTGATATCATTTTTCCTTTCTTGTGATGACTCAAACATTTGCAGGAACACATTTGGATAGCCTTAGTGGTTGGTTCTGATATTTAGTGGCACACAAGGAAAGAATGTTTCTAATCTTGATTCAGAAAATAATGTTTACAAACAGTATTGGATAAAAAAAGTAAAATAAATTGCCGAACTATTTATTTTAGGTAATTCAGCTAAAATTTAACGCAATTTGCTGGTGTTAAATATTTTTTGCACTCAAGAAATTTAATAAATGACATGATGATTAATATTGGTTTATTCATTTAGCTCTTTATTCATGGTTAATCCTTTTTGTGTCCATTAATCCATCAGATTAAAATAATTATTTCTATTTCTTTTGACATTAACTTTAATTAAGTCCATGTTAATGAACAAACTAATTTTTCATGTTGTCGTGTTCTTCCTGAAGAGAGCGGGGCCTCTCACAACCAATAATGAATTCTTCTGTGTCCGCTTCTGATTGATTGCTGCAGCACATATGGGAAGAGTTAAAGAGAGAACTTGTAACATCTTGTAGAGTGGGTTAGATTGAGTCTATCAAAATATTTATTGGGTGTAGGTTCGAGTTACTCAAAACTGAAGCATTTGTCAGCCACATTTTGCCAAATTACCATTTCTTTTGCAAGAAAGTATCCAGAAAGTCCATTTAACAAATTGAAATGCAAGTGCATAAAATGTCCCATTTGTAAAAATTGAAGAGAATAAGTGCTTTTTACGGGTGATTTAACTAATTACATGGAAGTATTTGAAGAAGCTGCTTTTGAAATGTGATGCTTATGTTTTGACTTAAGAAGTCAGAAGTGGAAAGAAAACCAGAAAAGCTAAGAATTCCTTATAGGTTCAAAAAAAGGAAACTACATTGGTTATTGTGAAAATTGTTTTTTAAGAAGAATATATCATTATGGAGTGTTGTGGGATCATATTTGCTGTGATACACATAGCTAGGAACTGTAATGAAATATGAATTATGAGAGTGATTTTAAGCAATTTGCCAGGCGTGTATGTGTGTGTGTTAGGCTTAGTATTTGTTAGCGTATGGGAGACATACACATGGACCTGATAATGACTAGTTTTACCCAGATGTGTGCCATCAGTATTCCGTAATTTGCAAGATGCCGTCTTCCTAATGACTCTCTAAAAAGGCTTCCGCACTTTGTTGACTCATTAATTAGTTTTCCTGTCTGAGCTTGAGTTCGGACGTGGGGATTCGAGATCTTTACAGAGAGATGGGTTCGGGTACATTGAAAATAAAGAAAATGCGATGAAATTTGCAGATTTGTCATACGATTTTTCAATGTGGAGCTTCCGCCCAAATAGCTCCCCTCCGCTGAGCAGCTGGGTTTCTCGTTAGAGGCAGACGCAGATTCTGAGGGAGCGCCATTGAAGTATGTTGCCATGCTTTTTGCGTTGGCTTCAAGTATTCGCACACATGTTGCGCCTTTTGGCAAGTGTTCATCGTAGCTAGGCTTAACTCTGCAGTCTGTCAAGGCCTGCCTGTGATCAGTGAGAGTGTTAAAACAGATTTTTCCTTGCACGTCTGCCGATTACTTCTTACAGCAAAACAGATTGCGTTGATGTCTGTGTATGGCGTGTGTCTCCCCCTGGCAGACCCGGTCCTGTCTTAGAGATCACTGTACAGACCGCAGATCGCAGACTGACACACCAGAACACTCCTCTCTACCGGGTGTTGACTGTTAGAGATAGCCGCCTGGCTGTGGAAGAGAGCCACTGTGCTATGTTAGACAGTTGTTAGGAAGATTGTATGCAATGTAACACTAGTTGTCAGGAGAGTATGGTGTGGTGTGCAGCTGGAAGGAGTATTTAGCCTGGTGCAGGTGTATCGTAACACAGCTGTTGCCGTGGCGATGTACCCCAACACGTGGGGTTGTGGATGGGCAGGATCTGGACCTTCATGGCAGGACCAATATGGCCGTCAGATATACCCACAACAGATCTCGCCCGATCCAACGTTACAGAACATACCAGCTCAACGGCACCAACAAAATTCACTTCAACAATGTGCAATGCAAAAGTGTTCACCGTCGCAGTCGATGCTGCAACAATGTGCACCAATACAGACGTTTCCGAAGAAATGTGTCACTCAGGAACATCAATTCGCGCAGATATCGCCGATGCAACAATATTCCCCACAACAAACTCCACTTCAACAATATTCATCGCAACAGCCGTGGTACTTTCCCAATTACTGGGTATGTTTGATCAAATCTGGATATTAAAGGATTCGGAATACACTGCTCATATTGAAAAGATTCCAATGGAATATCGTTTTTCACAATTCATGGGATTATCCAGCGTGGTGGCTTGTGTTGATCAGCTCATAGTGTTGGAAGGAGAATGGTTTTGTATCTTTTTATGAAGAGAAGACCATATTCTTTTAATATTTTAACCTTCTAATTGTCTTTTCTGTGAAGATTTGATTGTCTTGTTAGGTAGGATGTGAATGTAGGAAGAGCGCAGTGATTGTTTTTATTAAGTATCAGAAGTGTACCTGTGTTGTCATAGTTGACAAAAATAGTTGTTGGGAAAACAGTATAACATCCACCAATGTGAGGAATGCAGGATGCTTAGCTGAATGTTTTCCCCAGGTTAATTACTATGCCATTCACAGCCTATATTCGAGTCTATGTAAAGCTAATATGGAGTACACACTTCAATGGTGTGCAAAGTCTCGATCTACTGGCTCTTGTGGAGAAATATGTATACTTTGATGTAGAACCATCAGGATTATTATACAAATACAAAATTTGACAAAGTTTCATAAGTGGACTTGCTAATAAAAGTTTCAAAAGTGGGAATGCTAAAGTAAGTTTCACAAATGGGAATGCTATTAAAAATTTGGAATGGTATGACACAATGTTACATACTGATAAATTAGCAGGGTTTCTGTTGGCAACATCTTGGAGGAACTAACACTGTTATACACTGACCACCTACCGGGCTATAACACTGTTTGTTTCCCTATCTTGTCCAAGCCAACACAGAAACCATGAACTACGTAAACTTGCTTATTGCTTAATACTAGTGTTGATGCAGTTGTCACTCAAGCTCTAACTCCAGCACCACCTGTTGGGAACAGCTGACATAATACAGAGTTATCCCCCTTGTTTGCATTGACAGACACTTTAGCTGAGTTAACTAAAACCATACCAGCTCCGAAGGCTTGGGTTGTTCACATAGTGTTAATTGAATGTTTGAACAAACACGTGTAAAGGAAATAAAAACAAGACCGGCCCGATTTTCTGAATTTGGAATGGTTTGTACTGAGTCTGGAAAAAGGTCAGGAAATAAATTAGTAGTTTGAACTGACTGAGCTAGGAAAGAGCAGACTTCAGAAGAATTTTGTGTTTTGTTTGGAAAATATCTATCACATTTTTCTTTCATGTCAGTTATTTAGCATTTATTATCAAAGGTCCTGATTCTTCAGCATATGAAACAGATCATGGTGGTTTTAAATGATAGTTTCTTGTATATTATCTGTTTGTTATTATACAAAAAAAAATCATATTTGGGTCATACAAGGTTTTATTTAAACCTGCTCAGAGAGTTGGTGATATTTGGCTCCAGGTGTATAGTAAATGCCTAAAATTTCAAATTCATGTTAATATAGTTATAACTAATGTTATGGATCTTCGAGGTGATTTGTATTCACTCATAGCCAATACAGAAGAGGCTTTAATGCTTAGTTTTACACTATATCATTGAATGCTATGTTAAAGTTTGAGGTTATGCCTCTGAAGTAAGTTAAATAAGAAGTAAAGAATAAGATATCCACATTTTCAACAAAATAACAATCTCTTTGCCACCTTTCCTGCCAGCGGCACATAGTTTCGAGTCTAGGACACATCCCTGGTTAGGCTGATTGAGTAATGAGATTGATAGTAAGAATATAAGTACTGAGTATTATAGTGAGAATATAATAAAAGTAATGTTCATAATATTCTTTAAACTTCCACTTTGGTTCACTTTATGATTCTTAAATTTGGAATTTTTGATAGGATAATTGGCGTTGAAAATCTTTGTCGTATCATTTACATACCGTAACTATCTGGTCAACTTTATCTTACCATCTTAGCTTATTTTTCAATGCATTTTTCCATGAAGTAACGATGCTTTGGTACAGAGAAATGAGGCAAAAAAAACCAACAACAAAAAACAAAACTTTTATTTGAAATTCATGAACAACAACAATTTTGATATTTGGTCGAAGGACGATGGCCATTTTGGTTGTGTTGCATTTAAGACAGGAAATAAAGTTTGCTTCATTGAAATTTTAACACTTTACTTCGAGGCCTAACATGGCTGATGATTTTGAGAATTGGTTATTACGCAGTATCCTTGTAGCTATTAATACGTCTTGGGCATCTATATTACATCTTTTATGGAGGTTATAATGTAATGTATACATTGTTGGACAGATGTTATAACATCATTTATAGCATTTGACGGAAGTTAAAACATAATGTATACAGTTTGGTTTTTTTTAGATCCCCTAAAGAGAACTGGTAGCTCATGATAAATCTGAATGGTTTAAATAATTTGAATCTATTAAAACTATTGAAATTGAAGGACTAGTTTCAAATTGGACGTGTTAGTGTATTAGCTGTAGAGTGGGTACCTGTAAGGAGTAGTTGCTGTCTGGTGAAGCTGGCTTCCGTAGGAGTTAGAGAAAGTTTACTGGTTGGCGTCTCACCACAGATAGCTCTAGTGTTGTTGAGGTGTCCTGAAGTGGTGCTTGCTGGTAGCATTTTGAGGGATCCCTGGTCACAATAGATCTCCAGCACCTTAGGCTATAAGAGGAAATTAATAGATTGGGTGGTCAGGCTCAGTGACTTGGTTGATTGTGTCATCATACCCCATTGGGGTGGATCGTGGCCCGTAATATCAATCACTGGATTGTCTGGTCCAGATCTGTGTTACATCTGTGTTACATCTGTGTAGATGTGTCAATGTATTGTGTTACATTGTGTCTCTTATCTACTGTGTGTTACATCTGTGTAGATGTGTCAATGTATTGTGTTACATTGTGTCACTTATCTACTGTGTGTTACATCTGTGTAGATGTGTCAATGTATTGTGTTACATTGTGTCTCTTATCTACTGTGTGTTACATCTGTGTAGATGTGTCAATGTATTGTGTTACATTGTGTCTCTTATCTACTGTGTGTTACATCTGTGTAGATGTGTCAATGTATTGTGTTACATTGTGTCTCTTATCTACTGTGTGTATTATTCAGCAGGGAAATCACCCCTCGATGTCAGAGAACAGAAGTCAGAGTGGGGGAATGTCTGCATCATCAACTGATCAGACAAAAACATATGAAAGTAAGTTGCTCTAGCACCATTTATGATGTGAATATTATAATGCTTACAATACTGAATACTGTCTATGCTCTGACAGTTGACCACTTGGTTTGTGTGGCGTGGCAGGCCACTATGATGTGTTATATTGCTGTCAATGTGATACAGTTGTGAAATTTCAGACTGTGATAAGCTGTAAAGTATTGCATACAGTACTATGTGATATAGGTGTTATACTGCTGAATGTGTGAAATTGCAGTTATATTGCTGACTATGATGGATTCTTTGTCCACTAGACAAACTGTTGATCAGTTGTGTTTTATAACATTATCTTTTTCTTGATGTTATCAGTAAAATTCTGTGGGGGTCAGGTAGCCTTGTGGTTAAAGCGTTCGCTTGTCATGCCGAAGACCCGGGTTTGATTCCCATCATGGGTACAATGTGTGAAGCCTATTTCTGGTGACCCCTGCTGAGATATTGCTGGAATATTGCTAAAAGCAGCGTTAAACCATACTCACTCACTCTGTAAAATTCTTGCAAACTTCCACGGTCACTTGCTGTCCTGATTTTTTATGCTGCATCCATTTGACGTTGCAGATCTACGAAGCGACCAATCACAGGAACCTAACACAGATGGATCCATCAAAGTCGAACTTGCTGATAAAAACAGTGAAGGCGACAATAAAGGTGATCAGCCTCCCAAATCGTCGGCCAAAGGGTCAACAAATTCAACTCCGCCTACAGGAAACCCGCCTTCCACGAAAAGGTCAAGGTCAAAAGTGGATGATGATGATAACTTGTAAGTTAATGATTTTCAATTTTATTATTCCTCAGAAAAATAAAAATAAAACATTGCTGTGGTTTTGATATCCCTTCTAACTGCTAACAATTTCATTGACATCTTTATCAAATACATAAGTACCACACCTTTCCCTTTATTTCGGCCATAGGTCAAGGTCAAAACTGACGACATTGACATTGTGTAAGATATTTCTTGACAATTTGTAACTCTTTAATTTTGTACAACGATTTTGTAGTTCTGCGATCACTGCTTATGCTATCATTGATTGACACGTTTACCAAATACATAAAAAGTACCTCTTTTAACCCTATATTTCGGTCATAGGTCAAGGTCAAACATGGGCGACGACGATTTGTAAGTTATTTGTTGACAATTTGTTCCAATTTAAGTTCTTAAGATGATATGGTTCTTATCTCTGGCAACTGAACATAACAACTTTATAGACATCATAACAACCTATTTAAGGGACATTTATCACCAGATAGTTAGGAATTCAACAAACTCTCCTTCATAATAATAATGCCTTTCATTTGACTTTGTTGTATATCCTTACCAAGTTTGATGTGAATTGAATCGATATTAATTACATTTTAATATTATTATTTGCTTATTCATATAAAGTTCATTGCCTTGAGTCTATTATCTGTTAAATCAATACAACAGAAAGAGTTCAAAATGTAATGCAATCTTTGAGTTGTCTAAGGTGCTACAATTCTCTGTTTTGAGTCAGTGTCAGAAACCTATGGTCTTAGGTTCAAATCCTAGATATGCATAGATATATTTCTAGGTTTGTCAGCACCATACCCGTGCTTGTGGGTTTCTCTAAAGCGGTAAGACCTGCATCGTTTCAGGTTTTTCTCCCACATAAAGCTGGCACACCGTGATATAACTGGAATACTGTTCAAAGCGGCGTCAAAACACCATCTCACTCTTTAGTCATTGTTATGATGTTTGTGCATGTCTTGTATTGTTGTTCTTGTACATGGAGGTGGGACCATCTCCATTGTGTATAGGCAGAACATTTGCCCAGAGAGCAGAAGGTTGGGGCTTCGATCCAGGCCGTGTCATACCAAAAGACAATAGATGACGGTACTGGTTGTTACCCTTTCTAATGCTCGGCATTAGGGCTAAAACAAGGACTGGCCAGCTCGGAGTCAGTATACTGTACCCGAGTGGGATATTCATGTTAAACTGCGGATGGAATCTCAGTGAGCTAGCACTATAAAACCAGTACTAGACTGGACTGGTACAAGCAGCCTGTCGCACAGTGCATGCACATCGCTATAAGTGCAATAAGTTTGAACAAGACATAAAACCCCACTTGACCTCACATGGAGGTGAAGGTCACTTGATTTTAATATAGGAATCATCAATGGTGACCCTTATGGACCTACAGAGCTTCTGATGCCTTACTCCACTGTCGCCTTCATGTTGATATAAAAGATGGTGGTCAAAGTAATTGTTGGCATGTTATTGTACACCAAGAAGTGCTCAGCTCCTGATCACATCTTAAGGGGGCCATGGGGTAGCCTTTTGGTTACATCGTTTGCTCATCACGCTGGAGACCCAGGTTCAAATCGGGTTTGAAACCCCACATGAGTAACGTGTGGAGCCCATTACCGATGTCTCCCGCTGTGATGATGCTGAAAGCGGCATACAACCATACTCACTGACGTGTTGATGTATGTGCGCTGAGGCGTGATGTGTTTTCACTTTCATTTCTTTTCCAGGAGTGAGGGCGATGACAATGAGAGCCCAGAAGGGAAGCAGGAACGAGAACGTCTACGTAGACAGGCCAACAATGCCAGAGAAAGGTACGTTGCATCCAAGACCACTCCCCTGGTCAAAGCGGCATTAAACAACGCCAGAGAAAGGTACGTTCCATCCAAAACACTCCCCTGGTCAAAGCCGCATTAAACTCACTCGTTCTCTCTCTCTCTCGGAGTCCATCATGCCAGAAAAAATAATACTGGATGTTTCATTCTTTTACTGTTTTAACTTCTGTTAGAGAAGAATGTTTCTCTTCATTAGAATGGCTAGAGACTGTACATTTTGCATATTATTATAGAATGTAACAGTTACTGTATTCGCCATATTAAGTACTCTGCTCCAACAAGTAATCCTTTTAAGCTCCCCTGTAAAAGACCAAACATTTGGATCACAGACCATGTTGTCTTGTTTATTACACATTTGTTTTAGACAACAGCAGTGTAGAAGAGTATGTTATTGGGTAGTAACTATTATCGAAAGTGTCTTCACTGCATCTCAGTGCAACAATTATACTTGTGTATATATTTACTGATCTCCCCATGTTCAGGGTGCTCATTAAGGCGAATACAGTACAACTCAGACTCATTCCACTTATGATCCTTGGCCTGTCAGCACCATACTCGTGCTCCATGTTCCATTGTTCCACATTGCTTCTCTAGTTCTGTGTGTTCTGCTGCATTTTGAACAGCCTTCGAAATTCACGCTTGTCCACTAGCCTGAGACTGCTAAATTGTGCTGTGGACATCACAATCAAATGATGGTTGTCCTCATTGACCACCAACCTTTGAGGGCTGTAATTCTGAACCAGTTCTCAATTTTGTTACAAATTGGAACTGAATAAAACTTACAGAAGATGAAAACATAAGAAACCCTATTGTCTGGTTCAAGCAGAACTAGCTACAAACCAGTGTAATTTCGAAGGCTGAAGTCTGGTTCAAGCAGAACTAGCTTCAAACCAGTGTAATTTCGAAGGCTGAAGTCTGGTTCAAGCAGAACTAGCTTCAAACCAGTGTAATTTCGAAGGCTGAAGTCTGGTTCAAGCAGAACTAGCTTCAAACCAGTGTAATTTCGAAGGCTGTTGTATCAAAAGGGAGACAACTCGTAGAAGTGTTACTTCTCTTCCTTGTCTGGTCACTGATATTGAAGATGTTAAAGATATAAGGAGATGTGTCCATCCCAACTTGATATTGTTACGCAGTTTCTGTCATACTGCACCATGCTAGGTTGTTGTTGATAGGCAGTGTGTTGCTGATGTTTCCGAGTTTTGTTAACTCAAAGTGCTCGTGGTATTTCAGAGTCCGAGTCCGAGACATCAATGAAGCGTTCAAGGAACTGGGTCAGATGGTGACCCTGCACTGCTCGTCCAGTCAGCCACTGACGAAGCTGATGATACTCCAGCAGGCTGTCAATGTCATCACCTCGCTGGAGCAGCAAGTCAGAGGTGAGAGGACTACATTACTGGAGAGCATCCCCAGGATTACTCAGAATGCATTTATGATGATTTCCACATTTCAGATCCCATTAAACATGATTTACAAGTCATAACACAGTTATTTCATAGTTTTGTATAGTATACAACTGAACTGTTATTCAATACTGAAGTACCGTTATTTGTGACAGGAGTATGAATCCTGAGGTACTGTTTGCAGCACAGAAGTACAGTTCAATGTGCAATACTTCAACACTATTCACTAATAAGGGTAATTGTTCTCGAAAATAATTTATTTCTTTTTTTCACAGAACGCAATTTGAACCCGAAAGCAGCTTGTCTTAAGAGACGCGAGGAGGAGAAATCGGACGATATGCCCGGTCGCATGAATGCGGACGATATCGCCCAACAGGCAGCCCTGGCAGGTAAGGTATGGAGGCTTTACTGGCTTCTACTGCTTGTGGTGACATGTAGTTTTCTCCTCTTATTAGTTATCTCCCCTTACCATGTGGAGTTTCCAAGTTTCCAAGTAATATTTATAATTTTTTAGTATTGTTTGTTAACAGTGGTTCTTATTGCACTTCCATGTTATTATGAAAGGTAATAAATTCCTCATGGTATGAGGGCAGCAATTATTTAGTACAGATCCAGCCGATGGTATTGCTAATTTTAAACACTACAGAAATACTGTGTATGTTTCTAGTAATGCATGTTAAATGAGGCTATGAGTGAAGATGTAAAGAAATATTACTCCATTACTGTGTGTCTTGAAAAGCAAAGAAAATACATTTGAAGGTATAAATTATTTACTTGGAAACTTGACCCGAATGAAAAAATGTGTAAGTTATATTTTGTACTGGTCATGGAATAAGCAGGATTATGTTGGGGTCGGTAAACTGTACATATTTGTTCAATGTCTTGTGATCATTTGCTTGTGTATTTAAAAAAATATTTATAAATTCATATTTTTCAAAATAAGAAAATGGTTGAAGTCTTTGATAGGCATTTAGAAGTTGAAAGAACATGATTACATGATGCATGGATAACATCATTATTCTTTGTTTTTTGTTATCCATAATAAAATGTACATGAGAAAATGGTTAACAGTTCTGTGATTTTCTGTAACGATGTATCACAAATATGTACAGTAATGTCTGCATGTATGGTGAAGGCTCGGAAAGGGTTTCCGTCAAATCCCTCCTTTCCAAAATTTATTTGCCAAATTTTCTCGTTCACGTGCATGTTTGTCCGACTATGAGCACTTTCATCGAATACAAATTAAATCAACTTCATCGGTATCCGCACCCTGTATCCAGATAGTTTTTCGTAAGGCAGATTTAAATGGATGGACGTCTTCAACTGACATCCTTGACCTGCTGACCAACTGACCTCACTGGTAGATACTGCATGTGACATGAAGGGTTAACTCACAGCATGTGATACAGGGGTTAAAGGTGAACTTGTCTCCGCCAGACCAGCTGCTTGACATAGGTTGTCTCCCTTGTCTGCAGCTGGATCAGCCAATAAATGGCTGAGCTGGCTTTAACCTTTGTCTTGATAACAATATGGGCAGAACCTTGATAATTGGAATTTGTAATTTAGGGGGCAAGATTCGACCTTTGGGGCCTTGGTTGTAACTTATCGGTACCTTGACAACAAATTATTTTAACTTACACAGACTTTGATTAAACTTATTACAACTTATCAGGTCCTAGATAACAACTTATTTCAGCTGAACGGGACCTTGCTTACAACTTTCTTCAGCTTATTATGACCATGATCGCAATGTTTCAATTATTGGGAGTTTAATTACGACTTACATAGATATCACTAGTGATAGTGACCAACATTGCTAATTTTCCTGAACCTAGATTATGTCTTGTCCAGACATGTCTAACCTTTTTTTGAACTTTGAAGCTGATCCTTGAAACATCGGCATTTACCCAACTCTTCACTTCAATTACAACTTGCTTGAAGCTTGTCTGGACCTTTTTTTGACCAGGGGAGACGAGTTCACCTTTAACCCATCAGCATGTGTTACATGAGTTAACTTGTGAGCATGCGATACGAAACGTGTTGCATGTGATATGAGGACTAGCCAATGGCTGCTGGCTACAAGCTAGGCAGCAGCCATGGGTAGTCATATACCTGCTTCCCCAGCAACAATGTGTGACGTACGTTTTCCTTGCAGATTCACTACACAAAATGATGCATTCTTTATCCTCGTTAGCAGACAGTGAAGAGTTTCACAACCAGTAAGTCCAAGTGTAGTTGTAGCTGTAGACGTGTACTGACAATACTAGTCCTTTCTTAACCCCAAGCTTGTCATTCCTCCATTGACGTTCCCTGTTCAGAATCACTAACACCACCCATCTAATTACTACCTGCTAATTTCTTTTACTTCATTGCTTCTGTTTCTCTACCATTTTATAAAAAAAATTATTTCAAATCTTTGAAATCTTGCTTTTTCTCTACCTTCTTTGTTGCTGACTATTTGTAATGAAACTGTGCATGTTTCTTTTTTTCTTCGTTCCTTGTTCAATCTTCTGTTCTGGGACTCTCGTCCTGTAATCTGTTACACAAATGTCAAAGATACTTTGCCCAAGGTACGACGAACCCACCTGACAAACTCTTTGCAGTTAGAACGAGGTGATGTTTGCATCATTTTGACATTTGGCTTATGCAGACTCCCGTCGTCGAGATGCTAGATTGTTGAGGTGTCTTGTGTAGAATATGACTGTGTATTTGCCTACAGTATTCATCCAATAAGAGCTCTATAAATGTATAAACACTGAACTAGGAGACATTTTGCACCCTGTGTACACCTTGTTTTGCTTACAATTCTGTTTCATATGGCTTTTTTACAGAAAGTTCCGTTAATAACTAATGTGTTGAAATATGTTATGATTTTAGTGTAATAGAAGTTCCTCGGTACCGGTATTTATCGTTTAGGACAATCTATGCTTGCTAATTTTGATGTATTATTTAATTAACCTGGGATTGTACCCAGTTATTTGATGTGATTAAGGTCCAGATTTTAAGACTGTGGTGAGGTAGACTTGCAGGCTGTGTGTTTGCTTAGAATGCCTCTACCTGGGTTTGATTCCTCGCATCCATGGTGCCTTATCTGAAGTCAATGTAATAATAGTCCAAGAACCTCAGTTTGTATTGTGTTGATTCATGTAATATTTTTGCAACTCATGTCCACTTTAGTGCAGGATATCAACTTGGCATGTATATATTACCCAAAGAAAAAGACTGTTAATTTTGATAATCTTACACACAACCCAGCAAGGGGAGGTGCCTTGAGCAATAATGACATTTTGCCAGATATGGAAAATAAAATGTTCATTGATATGAAATTTCGGTTACAACAAACACAAAGATTGTGATAATTGGAAATAGCAAAAATAATGTGATAGTTGACATTACATAAATACCATGATAATAACATTGTTTGTTAATTGCCGAATATCTGTGTTGCAGGTAGTGCTGCCTTAATGGGTCGCATGGGGGCAACAGCTAGTTCCAACCGGCTGTCACCAGGGGGCATGCTGCCCACAACTACACACGGTGCCTATACTAATGTCTACCTTCAAGCAGGCCACCCCTCGGACGGTCAGGAAAACCGACTTGATCTCGGTATGCCGCCAGTGTCAGTAACGACAGCGGACGCCGCCGTGGCGAAGCTCGGGCAACAAGCCAACAGGAGTGTGCTAAGCTTGTCTGATTCGGTTGCCCATGCTGCTGGTGTCACTGGGAGCTCTGCTGGGCATGTAGGAGCGAGTGGGGGACAGATGGTGCCCCCCCTCACGGACTCAAACGCAGACACCCTTGGGGGCAGATTTTCCGTTGATCAGGGTCCTCCCTAGCAGACTTTGCCCCCGTTTTCTAGTGAAAGAATGATCGGAATGAGTGTTATCTGTTTCAGGAATCCTGCCTACCTGCCTAATACATTAGCGTTAATGATTATTTGAAAAAAAAAAAAAGACAACTGTTCCAAACAAACAAAAATAAACTCAGCCTAGCTGACCATTGTTAGACTTCCAGTGCCATCGCCATGACGATAGTGTTGCCATGACGATGACAGATTTGTTGTGTTATGTAATTCTCATTGAGTTGGCCTCTGCCTGTGTTTGGACGGAGACCACGAGAGATGTCGATTTCAGAACGTGTACAGTTGCCCTGATGGATTACCCAGAACTTCTCTGGCTGTAAAGGAGGATCAACGTAATGGAGAAGTCAAGTTTTGCATGAGAATCAAGCATGCATAGTGTCCAAAGTTCCAGAATCCTAACAACTTCCTTCTTCCGATACTTCTGTTAGTATTTGAACGATAGCATTGGTTGGACTTCGTCAATACAGAAGGAACAAGATGGCCGCTGGTCGCAATATTCGGTGCTGTTACGTCGTGATTCGGGCCAGTTCTGATGAAATGGAAAATTGTGACACTGTGAGACTGTAACTGATCTCCTGATTGATATTTGAATCAGTCGAAATACCAGACTTTGAGAATAAGCATTGGTCATATCAAGGCCGGCCATGTTGGATTTCTCAGCCAGTGACATTTGAGCAATGCAGGAATTGTGCAGCCTGATTGGGTGATCTGAACAGCTTTGTAGAGTAGTAGTGTGTGAAGTGACAGACTACACTGGGGATTGTTTATGCATTAGATGATTGAGTCTTTCACTTGTCAGTAGGATGGGAGTTATCTCCTCTTCTTCTTTGCCAACTGTTGGTTATCTCCCTTTATAAGTTTTAAGCAAAAAGTTTAACCTTTGTTAACAATGGTTTTATGAAAGTATGGGATAACAAAATGTTGAAATTTGTTTGAATTTTTAAAGTTGTATTTACAAACTGTTTTAATCTGTTATTTACAACTATTTTATCAGGCAAGAGATATTTTGCCAGATGTATTCAGAGCAAAGGGTCAACAAGTGAAAGTCTCAATCCAACCATTAGCCCATAATCATATTGTATATTATATCACTGTTATCATCGACATGCATCAATCACCATAGCAACAAGACATCTTATGTCATACATTAATGCATAATTCTCCATAATGGAACAAGCTAGAGGCTGATTGGTTGCCAACAGGGATGTGGTGTATCAAATATTGTGACAGCCAGCAGAGAACAAGAAATTGTTAATAGTCCTTGTTCTTGTAATGGCTGCAGGAGCTGGATGCGGCTTGTTCATGGTGGCGTGGTGCGCTCCTCCCAGCGGGGATAGTCTAATCATGATTTTGTTTGTGTTCATGTAGATGTATTAAGTGATATTCTACTTTTTTGAGCACTATTTTACACAAAGTTGGTGCATTTTATCACCACGACTGGGGTTTTGTATAGTAGAATATATGCTGCCATAATATCAGCTGGTCACTCCTTTGTTGCAGAAACAGGTCATAATGATGCTTTAAGAAGTGTCTTGCCAGGATATAACTGCGATATCGCTTAAGAGTGGAATAAAACTCTATCTGATCAGTGAAGGAAATGTTGCTTTGACAAATTGTAAATCTGAAAAATATTGGTGTTCAACCTGGTTTTCTTGCATGTAAGGTTTTCAAAGCTTATCTATAACCAGAAATAAGGCATGTTTGCTTCCTGTTATTGATGAAATTTCAAGACACCAAACATTCAACGACTTGAAGACCTGTACTTTGGAATTTGGCAAATTTCACCAATTGAACAGATCAGATGCGGCAGCTAGCAAGGGTTTAAGACAATTGACCAATTTCCAGGGACATGACCTGTGTTTTGGCTTTGGGCAAATTCTGTTTGTCATGGAGGAGTGGCCGGTTGCTAGTAGTGTTAGGTACAATATAGGTACATGTTCGTATTGGAGGGTGTTGGATCGTAATGATACGACCTCGCACAGTAGGTCCAGTGCCTCGATGTTTCCTGCATTTAATATAAATGCAAATTTTAAATATATATTTGCATATATTTATTGCTTATCTTCTCTTCCAAGTTTACAGATGTTAATGTCTATTTTTGAAACAAAAAGTCAATAGATTAAGCCAAATTTGTGTCATAGGGCACTTTGAATGTTTCACCCTGAACAAATAAAATGTCATTGTTTTCTTCAATAATGTTGAGGCTACTTAGATAAATAAAACAATGTAATTTATTTTTTGTCTTAAATCATAACATTTCATATGTTCAATATGTTTTCATTTCTAATCCTAACAAGACAATTATCAAAATTCTAAAAAAATAGTTACAGCCATTTAAACTAATCAAAAGTGTAACCTAATTAAAGCATTTCTTATTTAATTAGAACTATTGGTACGATAATTAATGTTGTAATGTAATTAAGCTTTAAACAAAATTGAAGTTCTTGTCAGTTAAGGATGAAATAAAATGAAAGTAAAAATGATTTAGTGTTCAAGTTTGCTTGATTGTAAAAAAGCAGGATGAATTTTTCGAGTTTGACTCCAGGAACTCTGGTTATTAGTTTCCCTCTCTGCCACAATTAGCTCTAGGTTTCTGTAGATATTAAATACATATTTGTTATATAATACACCATTGTGCATTTTCACTGTCTACCCTAACAAGTTGAAATGAACTCTTCTGGTGTTTGATTTAGACTCTACCAAAGGTCAGTAGAGGGGTGACAGGTCAGTCCATACTTAAAACATGACCTATCTATCAGGGGCTGGAAGACGTGGAGTTGTAATTTGAAAACAATAAAATGAAATGCTTTTGATTATGATTGTGTCTTTTAGATTTAATTAGAGGGTGTGGGTAGCAGCAGTTGCATCCCTTTACTTTGCCAGGATCTGATTGTGGAATGACGAATTCATCCCAATTACGATGCTTACTCTTGTGGCACCTTTTGGCTTGCAATATAGGGGCTGTGCTCCCAAAGTAAGCTGAAATATGGTGGAGTGAGTGAGTGAAGCCGGTGAAAGGTTGGTCATCCAAGTCACAGCACCATCTTGCAAAACGCAAGAGGATTATGATCGGAAGTAATTTTTATAAAGCTAGACCGACTCGTGTGGAAATATTTTATTAGTCATGCTATGCCTTTTGCAGGCCTATTAATGTGTTGTTGTTTTTTAAATATACTCAAGTCCTCAAAACAAGTAACTGATCATATGAATGTATGAGATTGATCGTTCCCTCTTGTACATTTCAAGGAGTTTCAAATAACTGGAACGCTAATAATGTCAATTACTGGTTTTGGTTTATTGTTGAGGGGCAGTGTCACTTCAGATCTGCAAAGAGTTATGGTTGGAATATTTCTAAAAGTTGTGTTAACCCATTTCTGGGGAACAACAGAATCATGCTTTACACATTTAGGGAAGCAAACCTGTGCTCTCGGGGTGACGAGTGAACGCTTTAATCTCTTGGCTACCCCTCCCCCCCCCCCCCCCCCCCCCCCAAAAAAACCCCCCCCCCCCTCCAAAAAAACAAAACTGTTGTAGGTACTTGAGATTTTAGGTCAAGATGTAGGTTTGTTTGTTGTTTAATACTGCACTAAACAATATTCCAGCTATAAGACGGTGGTCTGTAAATAATCAACTCGGGACCAGTCAATCCAGTGACTGTCGTCATGAGCATTGATGACATGCCAAGTAACCAAGTCAGGGAGCCTGACCACCTGACCCCATTGTCAAGATGTACATACAGCATTCTTGTCAATAACAATGGATCGGATGGTCAGGCTGTGATTTTCTTGATTGCATGTTATCATGCCTCTTCAACGTGGACAGTCCTCGGCTGGGCCAGACTCGATTATTTGACTGTGGTCATATAGCAGAGTGCAGTGTTAAACAATACACAGGTATACTATAATGCCTTACTTGAAAGTGGGAACTCCAGTAGTTGTCATGAGGGAAATGCAGAACGATTGGATCCCTGACTTAAGTGTTCACAGATTTTGCGTGTGTACAGTTGGTTGTTAAACGCAGCACTCAGCTATATTCCAGCTATATGACTGCGGTCTGTAAATAATCGAGTCTGGGCCAGACAATCCAGTGATTAATATCGTGAGCATCAATCCACACAATTGGGATCGATGACATACATCAACCAAGTCAGCGAGCCTGACCACCCGATCCCGTTAATCGCCTTTTACAGCAAGCATGGGTTGCTGAAGACCTATTCTACAACGGATCTTCAGAGGTCGCGTGTGTAGTGTTCCAATGAATGCAGTTGCTGGAGACCCAAGTTTGTTCACGATATCTATTTTCCCTCAACATCAAATTACTCTTTTCCACACATTTGTCTGTTTCTTTGTTTTAATGCTGCACTCAGCAACATATCAGCTATATGATGGCGGTCTGTAAATAATCTGGAACAGACAGTCCAGTGATTGATATGGTGAACAAGGATCCAGGTCGTGAAGTCAGCAGAGGTTGCTGGGTACCAGTGCACTCGATATCTTCGCTTACACCATAAGCTCTGGCTTAATTTCTAAGGGGTTGAGTTGAGACTTTGAATTCCAGTTGGTGATTACAAGAAATGTCACAACTTACAATAAATATACTTTACACACAAACAACACTGAATATTTTTTTTTTGGTTGTGAACACTGAGCACACAATTTCAGGAAAAAACATCCCCAAAAATATTCATGATCCCTAACCTTTTTGTAATGCCACACAAACACAAACAGAAGTAGTTAATTTCTTGGTTTGGGGATTCTGGTGAAACGGGGGGTTAGCTTTGGGTCATCGGTGCCAAAATCTTGAACACACGTGCTTTAGCTAGTCTGGACTAATACTTGTTTTATAGTGCCACGCAGGGGTAACAAGTTTTTTTAACGCCTCACTCAGCGGTCTGTAAATAATCGAGTCTGGACCAGACAGTCCAGTGATTGACATCAAAGGAAACGATGACATGCATCAACCAAGTCAGCGAGCCTGACCACCCGATCCCGTTATTCGCCTGTTACGACAAGCATAGTCGCCTTTTACGGCAAGATGGGTTGCTGAAGACCTATTATTCCCCGGATCTTCAAGGGTGCTAATGCATGTCCGCAGCCTGATTCAAACCACCGAAATTCTGCTTTCTGGGCAGAGACACAAGACCACAGAGGCGGTAGTCTTTGTCAGGCATCTTCCCGAGGCAAATGAGTTAACTGACTTTAAAAGTCCAGTTTCCACCCTCGCCGTATTTGGCTGGAATTATGGAGATACATTTTGGCTGGACTAACGAGTCTATGCATAGTCCAATCAAAATCGCGCACCGAAATCGAAATCCGGTTCGTAAACTGTCAAGCAGATTTCGGTCGACTGCAGGATTTGCAAAGCATGTGCACCGCTGACTCGTTGTCAACATATATTTTCTAAATCTTTTCATGTTTTAAATCAAGGTGCTCACGTGATTTGATGCACTTCGCGATGTCAGACTCGTTTTATCACAATATAGATCTTGATTATCCATCAGATCGTCTTGACTGGGCGCCGCCGTTTTGTTCGAAACAAATGCAAGTGGTACGAGAGGTGGAATCTGATTGGTTCATAGGAGATGTATAAAAGGGACATAACTCGTTATAGCCACTGGTGGCGCTCCGATCGAGCCCAGGAATTCCAGCCTAGTTCGGTAAGGGTGGAAACTGTATTTTTAAAGTCAGTTAACTCTCTTGCCTCGGGAAGATGTTGTCAGGAAGTAGACAGTGAATTTGGAGTTATGTTTAAGTGGGAGAGTGAGTGTGATTTTTAGCAATATTCCAGCACCCTCATCTTTGGGGACACCAGAAATGGGCTTCACACATTGCACCCATGTAAGAATCGAAGCTGGGACTTCGGCGTTGCAGGCGAGCGTGCTCTTTAAAATAAACATTTTTTAAAAATATATATATACAGCATTTAAAAATATATTGGGGGGGGGGGGGGGGGGGGGGGGTGGTGTTATAGTGCTTACCCACTAGGACACCATGCCACACTTTTAACATGCATACCCCTACACGGACACAGTATACCGACCCCGAGCCGACCAGTCCTTAATGTCGAGAACTGTAACAAGAAATACCGTCTCTTAGTATGAAGCGGTCGGGGATGGAACCCCGGACCTTCCGCTCTTCGGCCGGATGCTCTATCACATAGACCACCAGACCAGGGAGGTTGTGAGAAAAACGTACAGCTTACTGACTTACGGTTGACTTAAAAACACAAACCACTGACCACACTTCAGATTCTGTCTTGTTTCTGACTTATCTCTTGTGAAAACAGCTTTGAGGAAATTTATGATAATCCCACCATTCCTCGTTATCAGGAGTAAGGGTGCGGTCACAACAGATCAAGCGATTTGGTTCTCACTCTATTTCGATGGTAAAAACGGGTCAGCGAAATTTCTCATTGAAAACGACCCTGTTTTCAGTCATATATTAGTTACCTAGTCGCGATAAATTGCAAAGAAGAAAGTGTGGTTTATTTCACGATAACACATTGTTCTATCATGACGTCATTTCTGGAGATTCGAACATGCGCTCGCAACTTGATGACGTCGTATATTGGACGACGTTACCAGTATTTTTGAGAGGGTAGTGTATAGTGAGTTGTTCCCCTTTGATGTAGCTGGACTACTCAGATAAACGCGATGGTCGAACGCTCGCACCCAAAAGTGAGTGAGTGAGTGAGGTTTAACGCCGCTTTTTACACTATGCCAGTTATATCAGGCGTGTCAGCTTAATGTGGGAGGAAAGCCCGAAGTGATGCAGGTCTCAGACGTTTACCACTTCGGTGAAACCCACGAGCACGGGTATGGTGATGACAAACCTAGAAACATAATTGGGGCGAACCGGCGCACCCAACAGCGGCAGAGGGATCACAATGGGCAAAAAATCAACATGCTGTATCATGTGATAACTGTGACCAGTGGACCCATCGCGTATGTGGAACAGGACTCTCTGTGGCCCGTTAGAGAGAAATTTGCCGGACTGAAGAAGACTCAAGAAAACCCAATATTTACCTATCTCGAAAAAGAGGAAATACAATGTAAATACATCACTAATCAAATACCATGTAAATAAACCCTATATATTACTAAAATAAATCGTCTCATAGTAGCCGTTTTCGCCAGAGAAATCGGTGACGTTTTGCTGAGGTGCCGTTTTAGCCTGCACCCGGTCCGACATTGCCGAGGTCGGAATGTATTGAGGAGTTATTAAAATATATTTTTAAAGCTTGCACGTTTTATCATTATCGCTTAAGAGGTCGAACAAAATGTTGATATATGGCGGCGGTCTGTAAAAAATCGAGTCAGGACATCATGAGCATTGGTCTATGCATACAATGACCTGCATCAACCAAGCCAGTGAGCCTAACCACCCCATCCCGTTAGTCGTCTCTCACGACAAACATAATCGCATTTTATGGCAAGCATGGGTTGCTGAAGACCTATTCTTCCCACTCTCCTACCCAGAGTTCCATGCGGCCGACAGCCACTCAGCATAGTAGCTTTGCCACAGGCCAGCGCCAAGTGACGATTCAATCTATTCAGATTGTGTGACGATTCGTCACATCCTTCATAGACCATCCAAGATATTGCGTATGCTTTTCATCCGTTTCATTTTTGACAAGTTTTCACGTTTTCATAAACTAATGTCAAATAATGGTTACTGTTCATTAGGAAAGTATCCTAATCCGTGAAAATTTACTTTTTTTCCCCGTAGTTATCCTTTGTTTATATTGGTCGTACGGCTCCACGTGCTATCGTAGAAGTTCAACGGAGCGTTTGCGATACGGCCACTTTGATGTATAA